GGGGTCCTGCCAGGGGGATTTGCTGCCAGGGAGGCAGGCGGGAGCGAGCATGCTGGATCACTGCACGAAATGTCTGCTCTGCTCGTGTGCAGTCTCTTTGGCCCGCAGCCTTTTGGCTAGCCCCACCTGCCCTTTTATTTTTTTCCGTCCAGCTGAGCTGGCAGAGAGGAGGCTGCGGCTCCCTTCTGTCCCTGCAGCCTTCCTGTCTGGCTGACTCTCTGCCCTAGACACAGACGTATGCTTAACAGTGAATTCTGCGAGGCGCACATCATGCTCGAGGAGGGAGGGTGCAGCGAGTAGGTCCTGTGATCTGTAGGTGGGCTGCTGCGGTTGGGCTGAGGATAGCTGCTGTCTGATGCAAGACTGAAGTAACAGTAACAACACACCACACTCAGCCCCAGCTGTTTAGAAAGGTTTCTGTACGTTTTAGCCATTCATTTTGTGTCTGCTTTGTTTTAGAGCGCTGCGTCCACATAGCTCAACCTCTGTGCGCCCGTTTGTTGCTTGAGCTATGTCACCTTGCACTAACCTGGTTGCTGCTTATAGGCTGTGACAGCTGCTGGCAGAGGATTGCCTTGTTCTCTACCAACAGCCCGCCTCGTTCATGTAGGTTGTTGGCTCAAAATGTCTGCCCAAACCCTGGGAATACAGCTGGATTTCTAAGAAGAATGGCTAAGGCAGATGACACACTCCCAGGTCCCATCCCCACAGCGGCCAGGGAAGCAGCACCTGCAGCATGGCCGAGGCACATTGCAGCTTTAACATGTGTGAGCTGGTCAAGGTGAACCCTGGACTGAGCCCATAAACGTTTTAAGTCCCAGAACAAATGTTTTGTGTTGTACAAACATGTTAACTACCTCAAGTTAATTGGCAAGCAATTACCTTGAAGTAAAAATAGCTTTCCTGCAGCTGAGCAGTCACAGAGTGCCTGTCCCCCCGTGAACACTTCCAGTTCACTAAAACATTCTGCAGAAGAACCTTTTCTGATTTGTCTTGTGGAACTTCACAGGTTTGTGATTGAAAGGTTTCGTCCCCAGAGGCAATTGCAAATTGCTTTAGGTACAGACTCAGCAAACAGGGCTGTGCAACGGAGCTCATTTTCATGCTGCCCTTTAATATTATTAGAGTTTTGCAGTTCACAATACTTGGGGGAAAAAAAGATGGTATTGACTGGCAAGTGCATGCCATTCAGCAAGGGAATATAACTAGCACGTATGTTACAATGGGACTATTGATGAAGGCCAGATAAATATTTTTAACTTAAAGACAGGTTGGCTGGCATTTTGTGTGACATAATCACACAGCTGGACTGCGTTTCTGCATGTGCGTGCTGTCAAGAACCAAGAAGCAAAGTCCTGCCAGTACCCATCATAGCACTTGGCACTACCAAGTGAGAGCCTTGCAGTCAGCTGTTTGACCTGGTTACAAAAGTCAGTTGCTTCTTCTGATGAGATCTTCCACACAAGCAGTCCCATCAGTTTCTCTTAGAACTTGGCTTAAGCCCTTGCTTGATCCTTTACAACCTTCTGGCAAAATAATGCCTAGATCCTCTGGGTCTGTTACATAACCACAGCCAGGTTTCTTCCTTGGGACTGATTATCACTCCAGTGCTGGGAAGCAGAGTTGGGTACATGTGGATGTGAGTGATGGAGCTCTGTGACTCTGGGGTTGTGATGGCCAAGATGGGCTGGCACATGGTGCAGAGCTGTCCCAGCCAAACAGCTGTGCGTTGCATGACAGCGGTGAGGTGCTATGTGCCTTGTCCCTCTCCTCACCCACTTCTGGTCACCTCTCTCCCCAGAAGGTTTTACCTTGTGCAGAGGAGGGAGCAGCAGCTGATGCTGGGAGCCTTGGGGCAGGCTGACTGCACTGGGCTGCCTCGCAGCCACATGGGTGCGTGTTGTGTTGCTCCGGATGCCTCAGTGCAGCAGAGGGTCAACCTGCAAAGCCCTTCCCAGGCAGCTGGCAGTCTCTGCCTCACGTCCTGGAGAAGCGAGGGAGTGGCAGATGGAAAACAAAACTAGCAAAGTGCATTTCACAGTCCTGGCAGCTGTGCTCAGCAAACATGAGAACCGCAGTGATGGAGTCTCAGATTGCTTTCCCTCTGCAGCCTGGCGTTGGAAGCTTCAGCATTGCAGTGAGCCTTTCCAAGAGGTGCTCCCAGCCCTCAGTTGGCTCCTGTGGCAACGTGTCCTTGAGGCGGGTACATCCAGGTGTGTCAAGCAAGAGAAGCTATGATGGGTGCAGACAGCAGAGCTTTCCAGGAAATATTGGGATACAACTGCAGCTCTGTTCGCTGTAGCTCCTTTGAATTCACTTTCTGTGACTATAATGGCAAACATTTTGCAAGCAAAAAAAAAAAAAAAAAGCATTGAGCCAGAGAAGTGCTGTGCACAAACTAAGCTTAGTATAGATGACTACACCTGTGCTTAACACTAGGCACGTGATAAATGCTCTGCTAGATCCTAGCCAAAATAAATTTAAAATAAATATCAGAGCGTGCTTGTGGAAAATGAATGCAGGTCTTGTAAGCGTACCTGGTTGCAGCCGAAATTGGAGCCTACAGCTGCATGTGTCTGTGGGGATATCCAGCAGGGAGGGGGGCACGTGATCTCCACCAGCAGAGCTGGTGAAAACAGGTTTTGATTTGAATGAGTTATGACCCATTGAAAATGGCATCATGCGTAACCACAGTAAATTGTCATAATGAGATCACGAGGCTCGAAGAAGTGGGCAGAGAGGAAAGGCTTCATTCCGCCAGTGCACACGGCTGACCGAGCTGTGGGCTGCAGAACACAGCAAAGGGCACACCGTCTCCTTCCCTGGGCATCCTGTCATTGCAGTGACAGCACCCGAGGTTGCACAGTAGGACAAAAACTCATTAGAAGTGTTGAGTTAAAAAGAAGGAAACAACCCAGCACTCTTGTGGCTTTGCATTTAGTCTTGTACAGGGTAGCAGGGGATAGGGCTAACCCAAGTTATGGAAAAATATAAACACCATAAGTGCTTCCAGTCTCATGGCAGCTTTCTGAGTTAGTTTGGTGGTTTCAAAACATGTTCCTGTCAGAGGGCCTGATGGTCAGGGTAGAGCATGACATAACTGAAAGTAGTCATCTCCTCTGGAAGCACAATAAAATTGTATTCACGGGCTCATAAACTCATAGACACAAGCCAGCCCATGTGGATCTGCTCACATAAGGCCGCCACTGGATGCTCAGCTACAAATAATGCAGAACCAGCTCTGACTTCTGTATTTTTGTTTGCAAACAAAGAAGCTGAAAGACAAACTCTGAAACTGCAGTATGGGTGATGCACCTGAGACTGTACCAGGTATTGAGTCCAGACAACATAAGTAACACAGCTGTTGGCTGCCAGAAGTCTTGCAGGTGGAATTCCAGAAAGTACTCCTGTTTTGGGGAGCTGGAGGGAAATAGTGATATTTGTTCAGAGCCATCCATCATAGAATCATAGAAGCATTAAGGTTGGAAAAGACCTTTAGGATCATGATCAGTCATTCCCCATAAGATCTGTGCTCCAGACCTCTCACCAGTTTCATTACCCTTCTCTGGACATGCTTCAGGTCCTCTATGTCTTGTAGGGAGCAGCCCAAAACTGAATGTGGAAATCAAGATGCAGCCTCACCAGTGCCAAGTACAGAGGGATGGTCACCTCCCTAATCCCGCAAACTGCACTATTTCTGATATAAACCAGGATGCCATTGGCCTTTTTGGCCACTTGGGCACACTGCTGACTCTTGGTCAGCCGGTGGTCAACTAACACCCTCAGATCCTTTTCCTCTGTGCAGCTTTTCAGCCACTCTGCCCCAAGCCTGCAGGGATGCATGAGGTTGTTGTGACTGAAGTGTAGGACCGCGCATTTGGTCTTCTTGATTCTCATGCAGTTGGCCTCAGCCCATCAGTCCAGCTTATCCAGATCCCTCTGCAGGGCCTTGCTACCCTCAAGCATATCAACATTTCCTCCAAACTTAGTGTCATCTGAAAACTTACTGGAAGTGCACTCAGTCATGCAGGGGACTGGAAGAAACACGCTCCAGCTCATGCTGTTTCTGTTTTAAAGTTATCAAGGGCACATGTCTGTGGAGGCCTGTTGCAAAACACCGTATGTATGATTAACCACATCCTCCAACTCCCCCAGGGTGGAAGGCAGAGGTGTGTTGATGTCATGCATCACTGGATGCAGGACCTACTTCCTTTGTCTCATACATTAGGGCAAATCGCATTGCTTGCCACATGGTTGGCACTACTCCCAGTCTCGCACCCTCCAGCCTGTTATAGGTTACACACAAATATCTGTGCCCCTGGGTAAGGGAGGAGATTGAGCCTCATGCTGCTGCACCACATTCCCAATTTGTATCAGCTATCTGCAGCACTTCTGTTACATCCAGATTCATAGCCTGAGAACGTGAATATCCTCGCAGGGCCCAGTCCTTCACCAGTCAGTCCTTCGCCATGGGGCTGTGCTGAGATACACGGTCTGAACAGCATGCTGAAGCCCAAGCCGTTCCTGGGATCCCAGATCTTCCAGTGTGGGCAGCTGAACTGGCCCCGAGACCATTACTATTGCTGAAGGCATGCTGCAGGCCAGCCTGGCAGTGGCTGTGGCTTGCCTTGTCTACCTGATGATTTATTTGCTGGCACTCCTTCAGGGACAGTGAAACAGGCAGAGGCCTGACAGCTGAGGGGACAGCAGTGAATTTGTCCCAGTGAGTGCTTCAAAGCAAAGCCCGGGAGCATGTGAGGTCCTAGAGAGGCCTCCTTGTTTGTGTCTCTTCATGCCAGGGCTGCAGATGAAAAGCACTTGATGCTTTCTGTGTAGATAGAGAAAGGCCTGTGTAAAATGTCTGCTCCATGCAGTGACTGTGAAGCTCACTTGCCGTGTGTCATCTACTGAGAAGAACCTGAGTCTACATTCTCTGGTCTCAAATAGTAGCATTGCAGAAACCTCCCACTAACTTTGCTGTTTTTCTGATACCTGTGTAGGAGAAGAATTTGGACTGGTTCCCTCGGATGAGAGCCATGTCTCTGGTCAGCAATGAAGGCGACAGTGAGCAAAACGAAATCAGGAACCTGCAGGAGAGGCTGGAGTCAACCATGAGCCTTGTGAAGCAGCTCTCCAGCCAGCTGGCTGAGCTGAAGGAGCAGGTGGGTGCACTACCCCGGCCGCAACCTGAACATGTGCAGTGGGCACACTCGCTCCCCTCGGGTCACTGTCAGGACAGTGTAACAAAAGAGACTTTTGTCTGATAAAGGTTTCGTCTTTCTTCCAGTAAGCTTTCTGAGTAGATGCAGTGATAGGGGTTTGCAATGTAATTGTATCCTGTTAGCAGAGGCAGAGAATGGGTAAGGGGAGTGAGTTACGAAATCCCCCTGTGGGTGTGTGAGGACAGAGGTGGTCTTTGCACAGGCAGGCACTGCACAGCCTGGCAGCAGGGCCGAGACAGCGTCAGACATAGCTGCCTACTCATGGGAATCAGCAGAAAAGCTTTCTCAATCTGACACACAGGAGTTTCCCTCACTGAGAATACCAGCAGCACTGTGCTGAAAACAATTGCCTGAGCCTGTCGCTCTGCCTGTGTCACCTTGTGCCTCTCAGCTCCTCTCCCCTGGCATATGGGCACCTGGTACCGCCTCTCTCCCAGTCCTGCTTCTGCCTCACCTCCTCCTCACTTCAGGACCACAAGACCAGCTCAGCTCCCTTGTAACCTAAGATGCCCATCACCTTAGGTTTGTTCATTACAGTCTTAAAAGACAGTGTTCTGTTTTCTGTATGGAATGCCCTTCTAGTGGTATCAGCCATTATCCTATCATCCCCCTTCAAATCCTTCCTTACAACTCTTTCTTCCTGTGAAAAACTTGACAGAGGTTTAGGCTGGATGTGCTGCTCCCATTGCTTACTGCAATTATCTACACTGCCCTGGATGGTTTTTCATCTCCCCCTGACTGACCTTGCCTTCTGCTGGCTCGAATTTAAATTCTTTGGGGCTGGGACCACCCTTTAATTCTGTCATTGTACAGCACCCGGTGCAGATGCTGACCCTCTGCAGGGCTGCACAACACGATAGCAGGGCAAAGGATGCACTGCAAAACCTGCCACTGAAGAAGAATCATGCAGAAATGAGAATCAAATGTCCGTAGTTTGCATGAGACAGATTTCCCACTTCAAAGGCAACTCTTACTTGTAATTTTTAACACTGAAGAATAGAATTCCACTCCCTGTTGTTTTGCTTATATGTATCTTGTTCTGTGACTGCTAAATAATAGTGAAAAGCAAAAAAATAAATCTCGTCTCTTTCTGCCTTTCCACCTTAGATGACAGAACAAAGGAAGAATAAGCAGAGGCTGGGCTTTCTTGGATCAAACACACCCCATGTGAATCATCACATGCCACCACCCTGATACCATGGGGAGAAGCCGTGACTGGCCTTTCATCAGTATTCCTGCTTTATTACTGAATAAAAAACTGAGATTGAGAGGAGTGAACAGTGCCTATTGTTACGAAGTTAAAAACAACCAAGTGCCAAGATGTTAAGTGGTTTAGCTCTGGGAACAATTTGTAGCTGTTTTTCATGGTTGAAAGGGACCTAGAACGCAAGTGATACAAGGCAGTCCATTTGTATTCATTCAGGGGGCCCAACTCGCTGCATTTGTGCTCTGCAATTCAGTGGCTTTAGCAGCAGCTGCTGCCTGTGAAGGAATAAGGGCAGTGCCCGGATGCGTCCTTTGTGCTGCCTTCAGCTTTCTCCGTAAAGTACCAACAAAATCAAGGCAGGAGAAATGTGTATTAGCACAAATGCAATACAGCCTGGTTCAGAATCAATAGAAGCCGCTCCTTGTCTTATTTGTCAGATAGCAACGTTAGTCATTTTTGCTTGGCATCTACTATTTTTTAATTACGGTAAATGTGTCAGTTGGGTAAGCAATATTGTTGCTTCAAGTAACTTCTATGAGGAGGGAAAGGGGAGAAACCTCAAAAGACTGGAACAAAAAAGGAAGAAAAAAGAAAAAAAAAGTTGCAAAGAGAAACATTAACGCTTTTGAATTTTAGCTGTCACCATGCAATTTCTTATTTATAACATGGAGCACAATGGATCTACAGCTGTGGGAATGTTATGCACATAACACTGACAACATAACTGGAAGTGATTTCTTTCTCCTGGATTCACATGTTCTCGATTAATGTGGCCGTGAGACTTCCCATACCGAGGAGTTAAACTGTGCTTAAAATTCAAATTCCAATGGAGGATTCAGGAAAAACATGAGATCTGTAGTTTGAAGTGTGCATGTGTGTATTTTTTATTTTTATTTTTTGAAGCTTAAAAATGCCTTTCTATATGGAGCTGTAATGGTGTCATTACCTTTCACAAACACACAATCAGTGAGAGATGATCTCTGTAAATAAGCGCCGTATTCTGCCAGTGTTCTTCTGACTAGAGGAGTATGGGCTTAACCTTCCTCTGCCAGCCCTTCCTTGCTGAAGGGGCTTGCAGGACAAGCACAGGTGATGGGGCACAGCAATGCTGCCAGAGGAGCACAGGATTGGTTGGAGCACAGCAGTGATGCTGGAGGAGCTTTCTTCCAGAGCTAGGCTCTAGGAAAGGCAGCAGCCGAACTGTCTGTACAGGTCTCTGATGTATTCTCAATTTCCTGAGATGGTTTTAGAAGAGAAGTTACTGGGTATCCGCAGAGCCCAGCAGGCTTTTAGATGAAGATTTTCAGAACACAAATGGGAGCTGTGGTCCCAGTTTACTTTCATCTTCAGAGGATTTTGGATCCCTGGCTGTCCTTGGTTGCATTGGAAAACGTCTCCATTAAAGTGGAGTCACTTTATAAACTAAAATATTTTTGCAATAATTTCCCCCTGTAACATTTCCATTTTGTTACAGAGCCGTTTTAATCAAGGGTGGAAATACTGTTGACTCCAGCATTTTTAGTATCTCCCTGAAAAAATACTGTCTTGTTATTAAGACACAATTCAAACCAGCAGACCCAGAATAAAAGGAAGGGAGGAGCATTTCCCTCCCTTCATCCCAAATCCAAGGCTGTTCTTGGAACCTCTCTCTTTTTTTGTGTCCATGAGGTGAATGGGATAAAAATAATGTACTCTAGGGTCTGATCCTTCTACTGCCAGCACATTTCACTCTGGCTTCTGTTGGGTCCCAGAAACCATGATCCAGCCAGCACTCTGCCCTCATGTTTTGAGATGAGGACCAGGTGGTGGTTATCGCAACCGGGACTGGGGCAGAAAAAGTGGAGAGTGAGAAACTAAACCCTCGACAGCTCCTCTGTCACCTTGTTGCTTCCCAACCAGCTGTGCAAGAGGAGAGCTCAGAGCAGAATACAGAAGTGCAGTTGTCTTCAGTGGACAACTGTGATCTTTTAGGAATAAATCACGGAGTGTGCCTTCGTGTGACTGAGGCCTTGCTTCTGCTGCAGCTGGGCTGGGCTGATGAAACCCCTCAGTGAGGCTGTCTGTCTGTCTGTCTGTCTGTGGGGATGGGCTCCATATAGCAATTAGAGTCCAGCACTGAGTGGCTTACAGTGACTTTATTCTGGGAGCTTGCATCAGCCACATGCTGTGCAGTAACCAACTCCCGTGTAAAGTAAGGCCAGGCCGGCCTCTCTGACTGGGCCTATTGTAAAGCACCAAGCCAAAGGAGTTGTGCGCAAACGTCAACTCAGTGGTGAGGTTGTGGAGAATCAGACCCGGCAGCTGTATTGATTCAAATTAGTTTGTGCAGTTCATCTGTTTGTCACAGCCTGTGTTTCAGTAGTCATTTTCTTCATCCCCACACACATGTGCCGATGTTGTAGGTGTAGAGCACGGTTGATGGGAACAAAGATGAATTATCTGCTACTTACTGGGGTTTGGCTACAGCTGGACGCGGTTGACACTTCTGCTGTTTATGCTCAAAAAAGCAGCTGAACCACTGTGCATCACAGGAGGTTTGTGCTGTTTGAGCTGCAACTCAACACGCCTGTGCCCTGAGCTCATGCCTACAGTGGCATATGAGCAATGCTCTGCCCTGCACTGTGACCAAAACATCCCCCAGTTCCAGAGTGTGAGGAGGAGCAAACCCTTCAAAAACTAGAAACTAATAGATGCCAATTAGCCTATGCCACAGTGCCTGTCCTCTCTTTGTAGCTTCAGAGAGAGACCTCTCTAAGTGATGCGAGTGATGGTGCTTGCACAGATGGTAAATACATTTCACTGAGCATTTTGATGTTCTTGCTGATTCTGCCAAAAGCTTATGCCTGTCCTGCAGCTCTCATCCATGTGAGCAACCTGTACCTAAACAGGAAGCTTCTTCATGAATAGCAATTGCAGGGTCAGAGCTCAAGACTTAAGGATCATGAAATACCCCCCATCAGAGAGTTTATAACAAGGGAAAAATTCATTGTTTTATACATATATTTATATGTATATCTTTGTTTAGTGCAGCAGGGGTATCCTCTTAGGCAAGCATCATCACTTGCGTATCCTATTTCTATGAAATGATTGCAAAGAAGTTAGAACATCTAAGAGCTTTTAACGCCTCAGAGGGATTTGTGATCGTAAGCTCCTTGACACTTAAAATCTTAAGTAAATATGTCCATTGATGCTGAATGTAACTTTTAATAAAAAGTGTGTCATTTTACATATGTTTGCCTCACTTCTTCTTGGTGCAAAGATGTGGAGAAAGAGTTGTTGCTGAATTTGGAGGTTGGATGGGGCCCTGGCAATCTGATCTGGTGGGTGGTCACCCTGCCCATAGCAGGGGTTGGAACTGAATGGGCTTTAAGGTCCCTTCCAGCCAAACTCATTCTGTGATTCTATAACTACAATCCTATGAATCAAAGACTTCTAGGAAACACGGGGCCTGCACAGGAGACCAAGTTGTGGCAATAAATGTGTCCTCTGTATTCATCAGTTTTTTTCTGAGTGACAAATTGAGTGACAGCAGTTTGAACTTGGATGGAGAGGCCCAGTCCAGTAATACAAGTGAGGATTTATTTTACTTCAGGCATAGCTTATTCCACTCAGGTGAAGGGAATGGACTGCCAAAGGCCTGGAGGCAGATAGGTGTGTGATTTGCTGAGTGCTTTTTCTCAGTCCCTAGGAGGAGTGTTGGTGGCAGTCACAGTGATGGATGCAAGTGCCACTGACATGCTAAATACCTCAGAGTACCCCACTGCATGTGGTCTTGGCTCATGGGGAAGCTCTGTCTGCCCGCCTGGGCCTGGCTTGAGCAGGCAGCACAATGAGGTTTTGAGCACCAGCAGGGCCAAGGTAAGGCCATTTGCTCGTGCCCTGATGAGGGCAATCCATGGGACCATCATCCGACAGCACCATGACCTGCGCACCTTGTGTAGGCCATCCCAGCAGCCATCATCCCTTCAGGACAGGGTTCTGGTGGTGCTAAGGAGCCCATCAATGTTGTTACTCACTGTCCTGCCAATTCCAACCACTGATCTTGGAAATCCAGACCTCAAGTAATGAAGGCCAGTGCACAGGTTAAAGGCTTAAAGGCTCTATGTGATTTCTACTAGGGCAGGGCTTGTGCGCGTGTGATATTTTGGTGGTTTGGTGGGAGTTTTTCTCATGTTTTCAGTGTAACTGCTTCAAATAGTATGTTGAGAGAGAGGCTGGGGGGTTTCCCTTCTCTTCTAGGTGGAATGAGCAAGGAAGGCAAACAGCCAAAGGCCATCACCTCTCTGAACCCTGGCACCTTGGGCTGAGGAAATCTGTGGTCTTGCAAAAAAAGGAAGTGCCCTACAAACCTGGGACAGGAGAATATATACAACACAGAAGCATTATTTTTCCAATGATATTTATTACAGAGAATCAGTATTTATTAGGAAGGGAACAAGGTCTCAGTGAGAAAAAAAAGGCTGCTAATGAGGGAAATCCCATTAAACAGAGCATTTCTGTGCACTCATGATCCCAACCTGCTGAGTTTTTGAATGGAAGCAACTTTCTTTAGCATTCTGTGCTATGACTGTAATGTTAAATTGAAGGAGCTTGTTTACTGCAAGGCTTCTCAGATCACTCTGCAAAAAGGATGTCCTGAGAGAAAATGTGCTTTCATACAGACAGCTTTCAACCTAAGATTACAGACATACCAAATGAAAAGCCCCCAACCTAGAATTAAGCACCTCTGCCGAAGTGGCAGCCATTTCACACACAAATCTCAGAACTGATGGCTGAGGCTTCTGTTTTTCGGCACCTTTCTGGTTCCAAAGGCCTTGCAGGGAGCGGGCGGCTCCCTCAGCAGCAGCATGCAGCTCAGTGGGTGCACACCGGTGTGCCCCGAGAGCAAATCGGGCTCATTAGCTTCCATAGTTGCTGCTGTTGTGACAAAAGCATCTGCAGGCAAGGATGTTTGCTTTGGAATGAGCCTGCTTGTTTTCTGGGGATGGCTGCCAAGTTTATTTTTAAGCTGAGAAAACTGAGATTTCAGTCTGCTAACCTTGCTGCTGTCCCAGGATGCCCACTGGTCCAGTCGGCAGCATGGCTCCTGTTTGGAGACGCTCGGACTGAACTGTCCCTGTTTGCACAAAATTGTCCCAAACAGGCCTGAAGTGCCAAAAAAGGAATCCAATCTCCAGGAATTTAAAATGCAACGTGTATTGCTATCATCAATTCACACTTGCCTGCTCTATTTATATGCTCCACTTTTTAGTGTGAAGCAGGAAGTCACGAGGCACAAGACAAATAGCCTTTAGAACCTGGCTATTTTAAAGCATTTCTGTTGCTGCAAACAGACAGCAGTTAGTTACCTCTATTTTTTATTTTATTTTATTTTATTTTTTGCACAGTGGATTTCTTACCCCTCGTCTCCCACCTTTATCTCATCATGTCTGCACCGTGCCCTTGTGCTACTGTGCTGAGGGCGAGACCTGGGCACGTCCTGCACATCCTAGCAGGGCTGGAAGCCATGCCACGAACCTCAGCCTGTGGGAGCACAGCTGAGCTGGCAGTGTCTGTCCTTACTACTTTAATGACTCCATTTAAATGTTGCAGATTGTCAACTAGCACGTTGTTTAACTTGGTACAAGTGCTATTTTTTTAACTGAACTTATTGGGGCAAATTATTGCACAAGCTTTGGCCAGCTCACCCATCACTTCACCAACTATGGGTGATCCAAAGAGATGATTGCATTTTGCTCCACCTTTTAACTTCATCTATGGGCAAAATGTGTGCCACCACTGGGAGCCAGATCAGATCCATTGCCCAAATCCAGCTCAGCCTCAGTCCAGCTGTGGCTTGTGGTAGTGAGAGATGAGGACACTGTCACGACAGGGCTGCTGCCACCACCACCCCCACTCAAAAGCCTGTGAATTCATCCAGGTGGGAGCGGTAGTTTTGGGGTCAGCTACAGCATGAAGGCTCCAAATCCCTTTATAAAATCCTCCCTTCTGGCCCCCAGAGTTTGCAGTGCACTGCGTGGGCTGTGTTCTGCGTGACACCAAGCTGCCATGTGAACCATGGACTCTCTGTCACCTCATCATAACTCAGTGCAATGGCCTTCAACTGTGACATGGCAACCTGCATTTTGCAATCCTCTGTGAGAAACATTTGCCCTCTCTCTACTGCTGTAAGGGTGCATTTGCTGCCCTCCCTTCCCTGCTGCACCAGTGTTATAGCGTGGGATGTCTGGGAGCCACATTTTCAGCCCGGCACAGGGCAATTTTGCAACAAAGTTCAAAAATATTTTCAGTCCTTGGTCAGTCTTGGATGCTGGCAGATGGCTGAGAGCTTGTATTTTTTCAGGTCAGCTTCTGCTAGCTTTTGAGGGTGGCTCTGGCCCATTTGCAGCCCACCAGGGAGCTATGTCAGTGGCTTTTCTGGCTTTGAAGCGTTCACCCTAATTTGATAAAGACAGCAGAATTCATGGTGCCTCCAAAAGCCCTTCCAAGCCTTCATCTCTCTATTTTAAAAAGGAGGGTGTATGTGTTGTGTGTGATCGTGTGTGGTTTGCACACACACAACGCCGTTTGAGGGTATTTGGGAACACTGGCACGCAGAAACAAGGGCGGGCTGGCTGCAGACCTAAACAAGCACTGCAGCTGGTGCTGTGAGCACTGCCGTCCCGTGGGAGATGCAGATTTTTGTGCCTGTGGCAGGACTTTGCTGTTAAAGGAGAAGGAGTCAGGAGAAGAGCACGGTCCCTGGAGCCATCCTGCCCTTCCTATGCCAGCACAAACATCTGCCTGGGTCCCCAGCTGCTCTGTGGGAGGGTGAAGAGTTGCTGGGAGAGCTGTAACTGTGCTGTGCTGCAGGTATAACATCACGCAGGGAAGAAAAAGGAAAGGAATGAGAGTTCAAGGGAAGGCCCCATGGGTACAGAAAATGTCAGGGATGGTGTTTGGACTGGTGGGCATTATGAGGAGGCTGCTACAGAGTTATCGTCAAAAGCTGAAGTTATCAGAAGGTGATGGGCCTCTTGTAAATCTCAGCTGTCTCCAAATGACAGGACGTATCCAGCACCTTCCAGTCCAATGAAAGGGCTGTTGCGCAGGGCCCTTGGTCTACGAAGTCTGTTTTTTCAGAAGTTTGCCCACAGCACCTCACTTGGGATGAGTGCTCTTTTACATGGTTAGCACAAATCCAAATAAATACAGAAATATAAACTGAGCTGGAAATTTACTGAGTACAAGCTGTCTTGCAAAATTGTCTGTGTTTCCTGGCTCTGGATGGGATGGAAATACCACAAAGCTCGCTTCTCTCATCGCAACGTGATACTTCTGCTTCCGGGCTCAGCTGAAAAGAGGTGGAGGCATGTACAAGAGCAGAAAAAAAAAGGAAAAGCAAAAGCAAATGATAATCAAGCTTCTTTTTTTTTTTAATGTGGAAAAAATGTAACTAGTAATCAGAAAGTGGTCACTGTGTGCATCTATTTGCATGCCTTGTCTTGCACAGGCCTTAGAGTTTTTTCCCCAAGAGATGGGGCACAGCGCTGGAAAGGCAGCTAACCTGTTGGGAGGCCTTCCTCTGAGCAGGGCACAGAGCTTGGCTTGTGCTTGCTGGGCTCTAACGTGGGTCCTGCTGGCCTTGGTTAAGTGAAGATGTTCCCCTTTTCCCTGCTTGTTCCCTGCTCTTCAGGAGAGGGGAACGCAGTCCTGTGGCTTTCCCTCAGCCTGAGGTCCTCAGCTGTGCTTTCCCTTCTGTCATGTGACTGGTTCTTGTATGTGTTTCCTGCAATTTTTCCAGTCTGGCCAAATGTTTTGGAGACAGAAGTTACGTCAGCGAAGATGGCAGGGAAGGGAACAAAGTGCCTTCCCTGCTGGTGGTAGGAGTTCATGGCCATAACACCCATGGTGAAGCAGCCACATCCCTAGCAAAAGATGGCTGGGAAGTCAGGACACCACATGGCCCAGCATCTAGCACAGCAGTTCATCTTCCTCACGGTGCCACAGGGCCATCTGTCAAACCTGCCCTCACCACTTCTCTGCAAACCACCCTTGGCAGCCGCCTTCAAGAGAGGAGCCACCAGCTGTGTCCTGGGGCAGCCCAAGTTCCTCCTGCATCTGCCAGCAAATGGCATTTTAACAGCATCTTCTGAGAAGGGACTGAGACCACACATGTCCTTTCAGCCAGGCTGTCAGATAAGTCTGCCCAGGGCTGTTGTGGATCTGGTGATTTGTGTTTAGAAA